TTTATATTGCATTATTTATTTTTATAATTTAACTAGGTTTCTTAACAATCTTCAATTCTTCTACTTTATTATTTCACGGCACATAATCAAAGGTGGAAAATAATTAAAATAAAGGTTATTTCGTTAAACTGAAATACGTTGCAACACCTTGGAAATCGAGTATTAAATGCGGAGAATGCGTGGTAATGCAAACTTTGACCCCATGCTGAGGAAACAGTATTAGAAAGTATTGAGCTCTCGAAGCGGAATGAATCAAGAGGCAACGGGTGCAGATTCAACGGTACCTTGACGGTCACGTTTCTCCACGCCCTGTGATTATTGAATATTTAACGGCGACCAGCCAACGTTTAACTTCCGGATTCGACGGCGCGAACCGTAATCGGCTGCGATCGTGCGATTTAACACCGGCCTGAATAGCCTTTGTCCTGATATTTAATGCTATCGATCTGCCCCAGCGTTTCAAGTCTCCGTGATACGCCGCGCCAGCCACTCATCTCGCGGCGTTTAGTGTCACCAGACATCCCACGATTAGCATTCCCTACTCGTCGCGCCATCATCGCGCGTCTAACAGATATTTATCTACTCTAATGATAGCCGGCGTCTATACTAGGTATGCGAGAACGCCGGAAATGCCTGCTTGCCGGCGGAGATGCATGCAAATCCTTGTGACGTTCCTTAAAGCCGGTCGCTTTGTATTCTCCTACCACCGTGGAGATTCTATTAGCGTTTGTAATTGGCAACATGATGGAATCTAAAGCAGTCGGCCAAAGTTAACGGTGAAGTTCGGAATTCCCCGGTATTTAGAGGATCGTTAGTCACGTCGGATAGAGATATGAATAATTGTTGTTTCACGGTGAATTCGGATCTATTGTTATTGCCCCGAAATGGAAAAAATGACAATTATTTGATGAATAATGGTTTGTAAGATTGATCGTTGAGATGTGAATACAGTTTTCCCCAAATGGTAAAAATGGTAAAAATGGTGAAAATTTAGTGAACAATGGTTTCTAAGAAATTTATCTTATGAATACAGACGTACTGACCGTTTCCTTAAATTGATAAAAATAAGAAAGAAATTCCATAAACAATGATTTTCAGGGGATTTAATAAAATACTATATCTGAACTTCTTCATTCGCCATGAATATGTAACGATGTAACTACTACGTACGCGCAAAACCACTATGCCGACGGATTTTCCAACGGGATATACGAAATAAATGAAGTTACGCAGATTAAGAATCCTTTCACGGTTGCTGATTAAACATCTACTGTTAGAGCACCGGCAAAATTAATTTCGTGCGTCACAGTTGTAGTTCTCGTAACTTTTTTTTTATGGACACTGCCACTTTCCGGGAAGTTTTTAATGAAACCGAAATATACAGAAAGTTACGGTCAGTCGCAATGAAAGTATACATTACTATTATATGACATAAAAATAACAGATTTTCGGGTTGAATCACTGCATTTGTATTAACAAATGTTCCTTTTTTTGTATTTTTTCATAAATAAAAGATAAAATATAATACGCGTGATTAAGGTGTGACAATATATATACATACAGTCTGCATAAATACATGCAGAATTTTCTATAATTATTCGTTTGACTTTCTCAAAATAAAGGTGGATAAAATTACAATCGCGAATGAAAGATTCTCAAGTAAATACTGAAGTCAAAAGATTATTTAAAAAATAAGAAAAATTCTTACTCGAGAGGAAGAGGTCCTGGAGGGCCTGGGCAGCCTGGCACAGGAGGGCCCATGTTTCGGCAGCGGCTAGTCCCGTTCCTCGCAGAGCAAGGACATCCCCTGCCACAACAGCAAGACCAAGTCCTGCGTTTGGGTCGGTTTGCATCCTGCAAAGAAATTTCGAGTAATAATTAAAGAATATTTATAAAAGGTAATAATTAAAGAATATTTATTCCACCTAAAAAGTATACACTTAAAAAGTAGGTATACAATTCCTGATTCTTGTTTCACTTTCTTAAATAAATAATTCAAGAGTATGTTTAATATCTTCCTGTGCAAAATAGTAGACAAATCATTGATTTATTTAGGTATTAATTATGTGCGAGAAGAACGAATGTTCCGTATTAAACACTTACATTTCAAAGAAACGTTGAAACCACATCGAATCTTGTAGAGATTAAATACTGGTTTAATTGGCCACTGTATTATTAATATTTCAAAGCGGATAAACTACAGAAAATGAGAACGCTGATACTGATTAAAGGAGTAGTATACAATTGATACCTATAGTTTCGCTTCTTTTACTGCTGTACCCTACAACGATGCCGCATTAATTAATGCTCTGTCCTTCCTATGAAAGTCCCGCTAATTACTCCGTTCCCTCTCAGCGTTACAAAATGTTCACAACCACTTCGGGTTTCATAAATCTTGCAGATAATATACTTAAGTTGTTTGTAAATACTCCACCAGTTCTATCGAAATTTATTATTGTCCTTAATTATTTTATCGAAGAAAATTGATATAGAATTTGTTGTTAATGGTGAATCCCTTATAATAAAATATAAAACCTTCATTAATGAGAGTGAAAAAATATCTATAATATTCAAAATCATTTTGAAACATTCGTATCTTTCTTTTCGTAATTTTTTAATTGTAAATTTTAATATAAAAATCTGATTGATAGAGAAAAAATTGCAGCAACTTGAAAAAACTTTCGTGAACGTTTAAATTTACTTTCTGATATTTTTCAGTTGAAAGTTTCGATATCAAAATCTTATTGAGAGGGAAAAGGTTACTATAACGAGGTAAATCTTTCTTGAACTTATGTCTTCGTCCTTATAATTTTTTAATTGAGAATTCGTGCACGTTACGTGATTCCATTCACAGACGAAACGCGCCTAGGCTTTTATGTTCTTCATTGATTGTTCATCCGCGAACAATACGTTAGAGTCTGCCGCGAAACAAGTCCGCGGAACACTGGGGGCTGGCTCCGGTGAAACAAGATTGAGGCGATGCAACGTGTCGCGCAAGCCGGCCGAGAACAAGCAAACGCAAACAGACCGGGGCGTGCATATTGGATGCATCGGGCTTGTTGGGCATACACCATCGATTATTTCGATCTCTTTTGTCCAACGTGTTGGTTCCGCTCCATTTCGTTCCGGAAACCGTGCAACCGTTAAACGCGTCTCCTTAATTAATTCAATCGCGACTTGCCGATTTTTCAACGAGACTCGGAAGAATAATCTTAACTATGACCGTTGAGACAAATTGTTCATCTATATTGATTCATTTGAAATAGAAAATAAAAAAAAAACATTCTACGCAAAAAGTTAATTTCCAGTGTCAAGTTGTGATTTCTGGTTTCTAAGAAGACGGAAATTATGATTCTTTAAAGTGTAAAAAAGTAATAAAAATATATAATACCATGCAGTTAGAGTATTTAGTAAGTATCTATACAGAAAACCAGGAAATAATTATGTGAAAGGTTTTCTAAGTATTAATTATTAGAAAAATATCAATGATAGAGATTGTACGTATTATAATTTATGATCACAATACGATCATACATTTACTAATTTATACGTTATTAATTCATGGATTATCTAATGATGGTGAAACATAAAGTAACTAATTCATAAAGGCGATTGGCTCCGAACTAAATTTGCGATCTAACCTCAGCGTTCCGCGTTCGGGGGGAACTTTAATTCCGAACATTTCAACCGATACCGATCATTCTTTATGTGTACGTTTTAAATGCAAATGCTAGAAAGTTATCGTTCGGTCTCGTTCTAGGGAACTTCGGGTCCTAGTATTTGCAGAACGCTCGTCAAAGCGCTTACATCAGAAGTAATTTCTCTCGACCGGGGGATCGAGGAAACTTCTGGGAAGTATTAGTCCCTGTTCCAAATATTCTCTCGAGAACTAATTTTTTAGTTTCGTCATCATGAATGTCTGTCCTTTCAAAACTATTTATTGTATACAAATGTACTTTATCAAATTTCATTTGTAAAAAGATTGAAGACAAACTATAAACAACGATTGTGACTAAAATCGAATAATTTAGTATTTTTATTTGTAAGATAGTTGCTATTATTGTTTATAATTTGTCGTTGAAACTTTAAGAACGATTAACAATTTATTCATTTCGTTAACACTACTAGTTTGTTAATTCAATAATAACATTCTTATTTTGTCTATAAATTCGTATCAAAACTGAGATAATGTTTAGGTTACATTAATTATAAGTTCTATGATTAGTCGTAGTTTAGAATAACTGTTTTTTTGCAACACTAATTGTGGAACACCCTATACACCACTTACGCTGCTACAACGAAATGAATATCGCAAAACATGTATCCATGTGGTAACGTCCGTTCCATTAACCTCAATGTTCGTCTCATTTTCAACTCATTACGAATGCAACCAGCAACGATGCCCGAAGATTCATTCAATTATGACTACGATGATTCTTGATAAGGGGATCAGTCTCTAATTCAACATGGTCCTCATTATTCAAATCGTAATTAAGAGATTCCTCTAACTGGAAATTAAATTATTCGTTTCATAGACAATGTACGAATCAAAGTTTAAATTTTAAAGACCACCATAAACAAAATTTCACACCATGCGAATTTTATTTCAATATTAATAAAATAACATAACATGTGTAACTGAAATGTTCCAGTTATTCATTAATATTGTATATATTCACGATTTTAATTCATATTAATTGAAAACATTATTTCCTGCGTAAGAATATTAATACTAATTATGATTATAAGTTAACCTTTTTCGTTGAAGTACTTGTATAATGAGTATTTATGTTTGTTCATTTTACCGAGTAATTACTAAAATTTTAATAAATTCTTTCAAGCCTCTCTAAATAAAATAAAGGACACGCGAAGTTAATGTTACTTTAATCGATATAGGTGATAGTTCACAGGCGAAGACGGGTGACATAATCGTTCCCGAACGATCGACAAGGAAGGCCGTTTAATTAGAGGACAATCCGTTAATGGCTGCGCCCGAGTGCCTCGTCTAATTCCGCGAAATTTCATCGGGTTCCGAATCAAACGATGCTACGTGACTTCCCCGTAGAATATCTACCTGCGATCGTAATCGAATGACCGGACGTTCCGTTGCTCTAATTTTTCCCAACACACCCACTCAATATTGCGTTACCGAAAGTTATTAAAAACTTAGGAGACATAAGAAAGGTTACAACGAAGGGTATTACCTATGACACATCACGTGCGAACGAAACGAAAATTAACGTGAAGAACAGCTAATTATTAAATCATTACTGAACCGCCATAAAAATAAATACACAAATTTAATTTCCTACGAATAAAATTGAAGAAATTGAAGTTACATGAAATATTTTTTATACATATTGGGTTGATAAAAATGTTGTTTTGATGTTTAATCGAGTTAACATAAAATTATTGTTTTTTAATAATTCAATAAGAAAAGAAGAAAAAAGCGTGATCGAATAAGAGCAAGCAAAATGAAATTCAAGCTGTAACAAAGTATTTAATGGATTACTCAGGCGAAATATTTAGTATCAAGTTTCAAGCCTCTTTCACGAATGGAAAGCTGGAAACATTCGAAAAAGAGGATTACCCGTGTTTACTTTCAATTAAACTACATATAAAAATTTATATTTCACTTGGTACTGTAAGCTTTTCGTATGGATAAACATCTCGATGATTCTACAGTGAAGTAGTTTCTGTAATGCAAATTTTTATGAAAATTATTGAATTGTTCCTGAAAAGATATTTCAAATCGAATGTTTATCGAACGATTTCTCCGTCGATACCATTTTAAGCGATATCCGATTCGATGGCATCAAGTAAATGCGTGTAATTAAATCTTCGGTTCTCGAGCAAGAAGCAGATCCACTAGAAAGATTTAATCAAATTCGTCTTCCTCTTGGCGAATATCGAACGACTCGAAGAAGTGAGACAGTTCAAAATTAGATCAAGACGTTAGGATTAAATCGAGGAAGTTTCGCAGGGGAAGCTGTTTTTAGTATTTCGGAACTGCCTCGATTCTTAAAAGTTCGTACCAAACTTTAAGTGTCGCACTATATGTCTCCCGGAGGCTACATTTCAATTTCAGGAGCGAACGGTTAGAGTACTGTAAAACATCTTCGGGAATTAACTGTAAATTTCGTAGAATTACACCCAAAAAGTTCGGAGCTATTATAACACTGTAATTTGATGGATCAATTACGAAAAGTCAGAATTAAATGGAGCAGTAAATATCATCAAATAATCTTAATTGTAATTTAATTTTACAATATTACCAAGTATATTTTATTTTACTTTACCTTACTTTAATTTAATAATATTGCTAATTGTAGGTCACTTAACTTTAATTTTGCAATATCAATAATTGTACTTTATATTTACATTAAATGTAAAAATATTAACATGTACTATTATAAAAAACAATTCGATGGAATGGAAGGTGTATGTAATGATTATATTAACAACAATATTCGACCACACATCGTTCAATCGTCCTTAATTACTTGTTAACTTGGTCAGAACCGATAAGCTAGTTAAACAGATGAAATCTTCTTGTCGGCACGTCAATCAGCGCGTCGAATGAAAATTCTACTTGGATTTGATGCAAATCGATTCAGGTATATCCGGTGCAGTTCATATACATTCCCGTCCCACAGTTTCAGGAAGATCATAAATTATTCGATCGGCCTAATTGATGTTTGCCACGCGTTTAAAACTGGGTGTTCACGAGGCAAGGACACATTCAATTTAATCTCCACGCGGTGAAATTAATTCACACATTCATTTTTCCAACATTCATTAAGTCGACAATTAAATTTTTTCCCATTTAAAAAAAAAACTGTTTTGAAAATGAT